ATTTGAATATTTTCATCTATTTGTTTTACTTTTATTTGGCAAATAAATTTGGCAACTTCAAAAAATAAATTATGACTGACAAATTGAGTGAGCGGTTTTACTTTTAAATATTTTTATCATGGTATTAGATTTTAAGAGTTTTATTTTTCATATTTTCAGTTTTTAAATATAACATTTATGCGAATTATGTAAATTTTATTTAAATTAGAATGCTTTGGCAAGTCAAAAAAAAAAATTTATGGTAATCTTCACAGTTTTTATCAGTAAATTTGTTATAATTTCTGGCCTTAATTATCTATTAGCTGTCAATGACCGAAAATAGTTATGCTGAGTGTATTAAAACTAAATTTAATGGTCGTGAAAGCTAATCGGCTTTCGGTTTTTGTTATCTTTATTGAGTTTAGCTTATTTTTCTCTACCATATCAACTATTCATAAGTTTCTCACTGTCTACATATTTGCATGCAGTGGTGGGGAAATAAGTAGGGGCACGTTTTTTAAAATTTTTTTTTGTTGTATTTGGTTTCTTTTTTTTTTTCAGAATAAAAATTGTCAAAAATCAACGCGATTCTTTAAGAACTTCAAGCTTCTGCTAAAATTTATTGGGCTATAAAACTGCATACTCAAAAAAATTCTNAAAAAAGTGCGTAACACATTCAGAATAAAAATTGTCAAAAATCAACGCGATTCTTTAAGAACTTCAAACTTCTGCTAAAATTTATTGGGCTATAAAACTGCATACTCAAAAAAATTCTAAACGATCTGATTAAAAAGTTGAACATTTAGATGCAGTTTTGCAGAATGTTTATAATTTTGCACAAAGTTTGAAATGTGAATTTATACGGTTTTTGTTAGATGAGCCTTTCTTTTATAAAAAAAGTAATGAATATAAAATAAGCAAAAGGAAAATAGGAAAAAATGGTTAAAATGTTCCCTATTTATTTTTCCACCACTGTATACCTACAAGTAATTTTTATTTCTACAAAGAAAGGAGAAATAGGAAATTAAGTTTTTAGTAAAATGAATATTACATTTATGAAGTATTGTTTCAAACTTTTAAAAATGGTCTTGAATGATTTGAACAAAGTTGGGTAGTGATTTATGACAACATTCTGGCGTTTTGTTGAAACAACTGACTTTTAGAGGGTTTGACTTTGAATTAAAAAATAATTTTAGATTTTTGTCAAGCTTCCATTAAAATAAAAGGGCATCTTGTAATCAAGAAATGCTATAAATGGAAAATGACCTTTCTCGAGATAATTGTTTTAATAAAATGCAACAGATATTTAAACTAAACTGGGTAAATGGGCGAAGCAGTGTCGGTTATTGTACAATTTATTTCGCTAAGCGTATTTTAAATAAATTGTGGGCTTGTTCGAGATGCAATCACAACCGCAGTGGTGTGCGCCATCGGCTATCAGTCGCCATGCATATTAGTTCGCTTCGGCCATTAGTTCGCTTTAGAAGGTTTGAATTTAAAAATAATTTGTTGCTTTTCCACAATAGTTTTTCATTATATATATTCAAATATATATATTCAAAATTATATCAAAATTTAAATTCAAAAAGTCAGTCGGAAAGTATTGGTCTTTTTAACATTTGTATATAGCAACGTGATGCTTGTTAGCCATGGAATGTTAATCCTATATGATTTAATTTTTTTTTTTTACTTTTTTCAAAAGAAGTCAGTTATTTTTTTACTGATATTTTTTCAGTCAAAAGTAAAAGTTCAAAATTGGCTTTTATTTTTTCGGTCAAATATAAAAGTTCAAATTTTACCTTTATTTTTTCGGTCAATTACAAAAGTTAAATCTGACATATTTTGCGGTCAAAATAGCAGTTTACATATTCACAATACAATATGTTTTAATAAAAAAATGCTTATCCTTTCAATTGCAGTTTTCTATCTTCTGTAAATATATTGAGTTTCTTTAATTTAAGGTTGAAGTTATTCACCTTTTTACAGGAATGATTCGGAATTCAATTAAACAATTAATATAGCTGCCAAGTTCTGCTCCGACAAATTTTATCGCAAATCGCTAAGAATAAGCTTAGTGCTCAGAACGCCCGTTCTACACTGACTTGTGTCGCTGGCACTTGATTATAATACATGCCAGATGTCTTAAGACTGGTTTTCACTATGTCATATTTTGATGCCAAAATTTGGCGACATATTTTGACACAACTTTATCTCCTTCATCCATACATTGTCCGAAACAGACAAATTGCCGATTTAGCAGCGCATGTACACTACTAAAGATCTATCCGGATCCAAATCAATCGATAAACCGCTTTTCAATCCCATTTGACAATGTGTTTTCACTTATTTGACCACAAATGCCACTGAATTTGACATAGTGAAAATCAGTCTTTAGTCGGGGATATATGTATAAACTTTTTACTTTCCCAGTAATCCATAAGGTCCGTATCAACATCAATGCGCTTCTCCTTATAGGTGCCTATTTCACCGTAAATAACAGTTACTTTTTTTCAATAGTAAAACTTATCCAGATATTTTTAAGTGGAAAATAAAAGTCTTTACCTAATAATAAACCAACCGCTTATCTAAATTAGACAAGTTTGGTATCAACTGAAAGAGGACTAAAATAACTTTAAAACTGAAATGTTTAAACGACGAATGCCATCGGAAACCAGCTATTTTGAAAAATATTTAAAAAAAAAAATGTTTTTAATTACCATAGAACAAACCTTGGGACAGGTACATATATGCATTTCTTTTGTATTACTGTATAAAAAAATATATATATACTAGCAGACCCGGCGAACTTCGTCCCGCCCAAAATAAATNAAAAAAAAAAAAATGTTTTTAATTACCATAGAACAAACCTTGGGACAGGTACATATATGCATTTCTTTTGTATTACTGTATAAAAAAATATATATATACTAGCAGACCCGGCGAACTTCGTCCCGCCCAAAATAAATTTTTTGTATTGAAACATTTTGGTACAACATTTTCACCAACAGTTCACGTTCATGATTTTCAGTGACGCATTTATCTTCTAATATTTCGGTTTGGTGGTTGTCGGAAGGCTTTTTCCATTACCATCTTAAATAACCTAGCAAAATTGTATATGCATACAAAGATACGTAATAGCTTCAGTACCGTTTGAAAGGCGCCACACCCCCCTTATAAAATAGCCGCAATTTTTTCTAAGAGTATGGCAGTGATTTCTCATATATCCATACCGTGTTTAAGTACTCTACCATGAACACTTCCAGAGATATGCAGTGTGAAATATTCGGTTTGCATGGGAGGTGCCACGCCCCTTTTTCCAATAGCCCAAATTTTTCTTCATGACTATGCGATTGATTTTATATGTCTTGTACATACCAAGTTCCAGTACTCTACCATGAACACTTGCAGAGATATAAAGTGTGAAAAATTTGGTTTGTATGGGAGGTGCCACGCCCCCTTCACTTAGCGGTATGAAACATACTTTACACCCTATTNGACTATGCGATTGATTTTATATGTCTTGTACATACCAAGTTCCAGTACTCTACCATGAACACTTGCAGAGATATAAAGTCTGAAAATTTTGGTTTGTATGGGAGGTGCCACGCCCCCTTCACTTAGCGGTATGAAACATACTTTACACCCTATT